TTCAGGTAAAACAACATCCTCGAGCACAGGGAGGGTTACAAACTTTGCAGGATTGAGGCTGGGTTTTTTCCCCTGTATGTTTATGCAACATCAAGCAAAAATAGAAAAAAAAAAATTAAAAATAGAGAGACCCTGTTTTTGGGGGGCTAAGCTTTAGAAACATGGTTATTATCATAATACAGGAGCAGGCAGAAGCACGGAACTAGCTTGGGTAGAGTTTTTCTGCTTATCCTGATTCCTGTTTTGTTGTTTATCCTGTTTATCCTCTCCTTGTTATCCTGAACAAGTTTGTCTTCTTGTAAATACCAACCTACGACCCTTAAAAAGAAATCACCAGGAAGAAAACTTGCTGACTGAGTCTTTTTTTTTTTTTTTTTTTTTTTTTTAAGAAAAAAGCCTGTGGCAGTTGAATAAGCCCATCAGCTTATATAATATTAATATTTGTAAAAGCAAACCTACAGAGCTCATAAATCTTCCACAAAAGCGGAACAGTATCTACATCTATTTTAAAATGAAGCAGGTAGGTAGGTTCTAGGACAAAAGGATATTGATACCAAGGAAGTGGATAGATGAAAGAAATGAAATTGCTGTTTTAATCTGAAAATTGGCTCTGCTTAAATGATATCTGAGGCTTCTCCACTGCTGGAGCCAGCGTTTTGCTCTGGGTCATCACTTGGCCCTGGAGAGCCACAGTCCCTGGCTGCTGCCATGGCAGCATCGCTCCCTGGTATTCCTTTCAAATGGGTTAAGGAGTAAAAAAAGTCCAAAGTTGAAGCAAGGCTTTTTTGCAGGGGAGAAGAGGACTTAATTAGCATTTTTCCTAACTCTGTGCCTTCTCCAGAAGGAAAAAAAAGTGTGAAAAAATTCTGCAGTTTTCAATTCTGTTTACCATTTTTCAAGGCAAGAAGCAAGCTTTTCCCCTGTTACTCTATGCAGCAGCAGTGTGGGAAACCAGACAAGAAAAAATAATAGAGCTTATTTTTAGCCAACCAAGTGAGCAGCCTGTTACCAAACACGCAGGCGGAGCAGCTCCGTGAAGGAGCAAGGCTGCTGCATCACCATCAACAGTCCCTTTCCAAAGGAAAACTCCATGCTTTGAAGCAGTTGCCTTAGGACAGGTTTTTTGGGGTACCACACGCGGTGGGATGGAAGGGGTAAAATCAAACTCTCTAAAGATTGTAGGGGTACAAGGGAGGGAAAACCTTTTTTTCTTTTTTTTTTTCCCCCTCTTT